AGATATTGGCACAGGTCTTAGAAATCTTTGCTAATATTTATAATTCATTCTCTTTACTTAAGTTTAATCGTCCCTCTTCCAATATTATATGCTTATAGTAATTCTCAGTAAAATCCACTATTCAGAATCATCATAACAATATTCATTGTAAAAGATTTTCTTCTTCAATGAAATTCATTTCTAGATGAATAGAAATTTTTAATTCTATTAGTAATCTAGCAATTCATTCATAAGTTAAGAAAAATAATTCATATTTTTTGTTGAATTCTGATTTGTTCTATAAACAAAAAGAGCAGCTGGTATTAAAATATCCCATTCTTGTTCATGTGCTATTATCAATTTTTGTAATATTATACATAATGTTCTATTAAATTATTCTATTATTTCATTAGTTTGTGAATGATATGGTGAGAAGAATTTCTGTTTGATTCCAAATTTTGTTGACAATTTTCTGATTATTTCGTTGGCAAATTCTAATCCATTATCTGATTGAATTTCTTTGGGATATCTATGTTTACAGATTATTTCTTTGAAAATAAACTTAATAATAGTAATAGTTTTCTTGTCAGATATTGATTTAGCTTCAGGTCATTTTGTAAGATAGTCAATTGCTATAATAATATATCAATTTTTAGTTGTTGATAGTTTGCAAGGTCTAACTAAATCTATGACAATTCTGTCGAAGGGTTGTTCAATTTTGATAGAATGTAAAGATTATCTAGTAGTTCTTTCACCAATTTGTTGGCAAATTTCGCAAGTCTTCACATAATTTTTAATATCAGTTCCCATGCTAATCTACCAGTATCTATTTGCAATTCGTTGATAAGTTCTTTCTTCAAAGTGTCCAGATAGTGAATTTGAATGTAAATTAATTAAAATAGCTTCTATTTCATTTTCTTTAATTACTCTAAGAGATGCTGTTGGTTCTTTTCTTTTATTAATTTTATATAGTGTTACTGTTCTTATAGTGATAGGCAAAGTATTGATTAATTAATTATAGTAATTAATTAAGAATTATATAAGAGCAATAATAATAACTGTGTGTACTTGAGAGAGTTGAATACTAGATGGTTGGGAGAGAATATTAAAAAGAAATAGATTCTGATACTTCTACTAGTTGGGTAAGTATTTTATAATTCAAAAATGCGAATGATTTATTAAAATACAAAAGATGACTTTCACTAGTTGGGTAAGTTAAAGTTAAGTAAATAATAAATCAAAGATAACAATAAGTAAAAGATTAATTAGAAGTATTAGTTAACTTCTATACTTTTATTACTTTTAAAATTATACTATTGAGATACTTGTTATTTTATGTTAAATTACATCTGTTTAAATATATGTAAATGTAATATAGATCTATATTATAAGTGATATTACTTAAAAACAGTTATAAGATAAATTTGAAAGAAGTGTAATGCCAAGAAATGATAAGCATAATACTAATTTAATCTAAGTGATACAATTAAAATTAGAGTGATATTAGCGCTACATTAATTAATGTTAAATGAAATTAATTTAAAATAAAATGAATTTAGATCCAATAAAATTATAATAAAATAAATTAAGTAATATTAAAAAGAATTAATTGGTGTTTTTGATAAATTTTGTGTAAATTAGATAAATTAAATAATTAAAAATAGAATTATAAATAGAAAAATATAAAAAAAAATATAAATGATTATCAAAATTATGTCACATGATATTTTACATATGATCAAAATATCAAATGGTAACAATATTTATTTTCTGTATTTTTTACATTATTCACTTTTTTCATTTTCTTGTATCAGATTTGTTTTGCCAGATTGATCAAAAATTTGCGCATTCTTATTGGTTTGCGCTCACGTGAGCGTGAATTTTTGTTGGAAAGTTATCGTGAATCACGTGAATTTCAAGAGTGCGCCGGATGGATCGTAATCTACATGATCCGACCCTTACATATCACGTGATATTCAGCATGATCCAATTTCAGCATGATCCGTGACAAAAAGTATTGGATCCTATAAATACATCGAATAATGACATTGAATTTTTTATATTGAACAGACTATATAGAAATTGCTTAAGTGTTTTCTCTCTTCAACGCCTAACTTCCAATAGATTTTGATTTCGCAAAAAAGTTCCTCCCAGTCATCCCATTGTGGTGTAAATCCAGGATTTCCTTCGCTATCCCATTCATACCTCGATCCATATTCTTTGATAAATTCATTGTAGCCTTCTTCTATCTCGGCATCTATCTCGTCATCTGACATTTTGCTAATAGATTGATTGATTATATTTAGATCACTGCTCCGGACTGGATCAGGGTAGATCTAATTATCGGGCTAACTTTATATACATGTTAAATAAACTTCGGATGACGCTTGTGTATCTGATAAAAAGGCCTGTTTTTTTAGCCAATTTTAACCTCCGCAAGAGTGAAATCATATCCAGACTTTTTACAAACTTCCTGCATTATTTCGGCAATTAGATAATAACATCCAGGCTGATAATACAGCTTTTGCAAAGCAGAATCCCGGTATAATCCTTGAATGAATTGATATTTTGAACGTTCTACTCTGGGCATTTTATGTAATTCGAGATTTACATTTATATTATCTTCTGAGCTATTAAGCCTGCTTTCATACTTCCCTAGTTGGTAATGGAGATCATCCATTCTTTTTTCCAGCGTGTAAATTTGCTTTGAAAGCATCCCGAATAGTTTACCGCAATTTATTTCTGCTTCTGTTATCCGATTAATGATACCATCTGGTGGATGATTATGTTCACTTGGTTACCATAGGTAACTGGATAAAAAATCCCGCCTCTCATATATTTTAAGACAGGAAATGGTTAGATGTAAGCTGACCTGAACTGGATCAGACTCCCAGATATTTTGCTCAGCGAAGTAATCGAACACGTCTACAATCCTATCTTGTCTTTTATTTTTGACAGTGATAAAACCCGTTGCCCTATCATATACGTGTTCATACTTGGCAGGATTGCATAATGCTATGTACTGCATGGAATTAGTGGTGAATTTACCCATTGTCTTGCGCCGATTATTCCTCGACTTAGCCATACTCCCTCGTGTGAACTACGTTCACCTTCAGAAGGGTCTATCCGATTCAATTAATCCGATTGGTGGTCTCAGCTCTGGTGCATTTTCATATAACTGAATATTTATCGTACCAGCAAAAAATCTAATAATTATGTAAGTACTGTGACTTAGCCTCCTTCAGCTCGCATATATACTCCATATCACTAGTCTAGCTTATGGCGGTGAGCTAGATATGTGAGACGTACATTCTTTTTGATACTTCTCTGGGAGCTTGGCCATCATAGCTCTTTTTTCGGCCTCTTCTTCAGCCAACCACGTTTGACCATATTCTTATATGCTTGGATACGCCAATGGAAATATGGCAAAGAGGTAATACCATCTGATAGAATCCAGCGCTTAGTATCTATGGGGCATAGCGTCGTCTTCTCAGACTCAACCACAAATATTATATGGTCCTTTGTACGTATTCCTACATTCTTGGCATGGAATACTTCCTTCCCAAAGAGACAATCCCGATATACTAAGGTCATAGGATCTGCCTCAGTACTAAATTCTTAGCTTCTCGATCTGTTAATAATGACTTATCTATCGGATCATCAAGCAAGGATCCTTCTAAGAACGGCATGTATACATCTGTGACCATCTCATTCATGTCCTTACTAAGAATTCTATTATAATATAAATATTTAGTTATATTTTATTGACTAATTCATATTATAAATTTAATTAATAACAATTTAGCAATTTAGTTAAAATTTATTGAACAATAATTAGATAACTTTATTGAATAGAATAATAATTCAAGTAATGATAGTAATCATAATGATAGCAGTGACAAAAGCAATTAAAGTAATAAAGATTATCTTATAATAGCCAAATCAAATCTAATAATTTTATATAAATACAAAAAATATCTTAATTTAGTAATTTCTCAAGTTTTTTTTGTTAAATAAAATTCTTAGTTAGAATTATAGTTAAAGTTCGATAAAGCGAACTCTTGATAAAGTAAATTCACGTTAAAATGAAGAATTTTCAGGAACTAACCTATTAACAAAGAGCTTGATATAATGAAGAATAATATAAATAATATTTTATAACGTTAAGCGAAGTTTATTTTTGAATAATTCGGGATCTTTGGTTTATTGAACTTTTTGTATTAGTTTTAATCTTGAAAGATAAATTATTTATAATAAATTATTTTTTATTAACTTATAAAAAGTTATTTAGAAAACTTATTATTTATATTATAACTTATTAAAATTATATTTGAATTTATTGAAATTATAAAGTTATACTAAAGTGATCTAATACTATTTTAGCTTATCAACAAAATGAATACTTTTTATTTATTCTTAAGATATAATTTTAGTCTCTTTCACATAAAACTTAGTTTTTCATATTTTATATTTGATAAAAACATGTAAATAATATATAAATATCTTAAATTTTATAAAAATAGTAACATATAATTAATTTTCTTATACTTTTATATAAAAATTTAATTTTTATTATATATATATATTTTAAATATCATATTTATTTTACTTATATGTATATGCATTTCAAATTTTAATAATAATAAAGTATTTAATAACTTTGAATTAAAAATAGAATTATAACTATATAATATCTATTTTTTATTATTATAACTTATATATTTTAATTATAATTAATTATAATCTAGTAAAAATATCAGTAATAAATAAATAAAATAATTAATCAGTTTCAAATAATTCAAATAGTTTCATGAAAATTATTAGTTTTGAAACCAATTTTTTTTACAAGTTACTAATTAAACTTATTTATAATAATAATTTTAATATAAATTATTAAAAATAAGTAAATTTCTTGAAAAATCAAAATCTTTTAAAATATTAACATTAAAATAAGTTTGAAATTATTTCAAAACCAAAATAATTTTAAAAAGATTGTTAATTTTGAAAATAATTTTTATTTTAAAAATTATTAATAAAATTTATTTATAGTAATATTTTAAAAAGTTATTTATTATAATTAAACAATTTGATTTTTTTAGAATTAGTAATTTTTAACTTTACAAATAAATAATGGATAAATGTTATATACTTGTAATATTATCTTTATTTTAAATTATGTATACTATAAAACACTTGTATTTTGTATTTTAAATAAAAATGTTCAGAATATAATTATATATATATACAATAACAATCAAAAATAATGCAATAATATTAAAATTTATTAATTAAACATAGTAAAATATGAATTTTTTCTTTATATAAAAGTTTTAATTTTACTAATAAATATTTAGATTTAATCTAATAAAGCTATACTAATTGCATATAAAGTTAATTATTTTTTTATATGTTATAATTATAAAAAAATAATTGATTTTATATGCAATTAGTATAACTTCATCAGATTAAATCTAAAAATCCAAAAAAAATATATTAAACTATAATATATTATCTTTATTTTAATATAAAATTAAAAAATATTTATTAATAAAATTAAAACTTTTATATAAAGAGAAAAATTCATATTTTTTAATTAATAAATTTTGATATTGTTGCATTATTTTTAATTGTTACTGTATATATATATATATATATATATATATATATATTAATAAAAAATAATAATTTTAATCTAATTCAAAATATTTTCAATCAAATTTAATACCAATTCAATCTAATTCAAAATGTGCAATTTGAATCAGATAATGAATTAAATCTAATTCAATTAAAATTAATTGAAATTATAAAAATGTTAATTCCAGAAATAATTCAAAATATAGCAAGAAAATATTAAAATCTGCTGAAATCCTTACAAAAAAAAAATAGAAATTTTTGTAATTAAATTAAAAAGCTATCAAATTGACTGATGAATTTTTAGAATTAAATAAAAAAATAAAAAATAATAATTCAAAAATATATTAGGAAAAAAACAGGTTTTTTGATTTTTTCCTGAATCATTATTCCAGAGAATCTTTTATTATATTCCTCATTTTCAAACTACAATAAAGAATCTTAAGTAGAATTATATTATTTTATACTAGTAATAAAAAATGAATATAAACAAGAATTGAATTCATATTGAATTCATCATCAATTTTAGAACTTATCAAAAAAATTGATTAAATAATATTAATTTAATTATAAAGTCAAATGATATCGATATGATAAATATAATACAACTAATTAGTAAAATCTGAAAATAAAAAAATGTTTTTGTGAAAACGTGACATCAAGATGCGAAACAAGTATACATCTATATAACGCCGATGTTTTACAAATTTACAATTTTATCTAAATCCTATAAACTCATAACGCACACATGTTTCAGCAAAAATAATTCTATAGAATCATAGAATGGCTTCTTAGCTTACAAGCCCTTTTTTTATTTTTAACAATAAAATTTAAGACTTGTTTGTCACTTGTATAGCATGTGTCGATTATAGAGTTGGTGCACCATACGCTGTTTTACTCTGTTACTGGAAGATAGTTTCTTCATGTTTTCGTTTTGCCGTATACGTACCCGGCTTAGCCATTGCTGAGGGATGTGAAGCAAGTTCTGGTGGTACTCTTGAAATTGGACTTTTCAAAATCATTTGCTTCAAATCATACCTTAATAAATTAATAATAATTATTAGTTCATGTGACTATTAAGTCTTAAAAAATAATTATAATTGATATTTACATAACGTCAGCGTCTCCAGGTGACAGAAATGTTATAGCGACCCCAGATTGACCAGCTCTTCCGGTACGTCCAATACGATGTGTATAGTCTACAATAAAAATTATTAGCAACCTCGTTTTTTTAAAAAGAATTTGTTTATTTTGACAACAGTACCTTCTATATTTTTAGCCATATCATAATTAATAACTAAAGATACATTTTTGACATCAATACCACGTCCAGCAACATCGGTAGCAACTGTATTGAAATAGCAAATTAATTATGATATATAAACTGAAAAGCAATAAATTAACAAAATAATAAATACCTAAAATATCCATCGTCCCATTTTTTAGGTGAGCCAAAGCACTCTCTCTGAATATAGTAAAAAATATAAATTAATAAATTATCAAATATTATCTCGGAATAATGAGAAATTAATGACCTTTGTTCTTGAGTTTTACCACCATGTAATGTCGTTGCACGATACTAAAAGAATTGTGCATCATTATAGAAAACAAAATAACACCAAATAAATAGTATCCACAATTTATTACTTACTCCCATTTTATTTAAAGCTCTTGCAAGGACGTCGCAACCTTTCTTTTGATTGACAAAAATAATTATTGGCGGATCAAATGAACCTTGCAAAAGTTCCAGTAATCGGCTCCTATTTTAAAATCATTAATTAATTAATATGTAGGAAATTTATTAATTGCTGAAAATCAAATAAATGATATCGAATACTTACTTTTTACGGATTTCATCATGAATCATTTCTACTCTTTGTTCAACTGTATCCACTGCTTGACCAGCAGTTCCAATTGTAACGACCGCAGGCCGCCGTAAATATCTTAACAGGTAATAAATTAGTTAATTTAATTATCTAAAGAATATCAGAATAGTTAAATAAAACATTATGACTGTTACATTTAAACAAACTAACCTTTTTGCTAATCGTTCTACAGCTGGTGGCATAGTAGCTGAAAACATGACAGTCTGTCTATACCGTTCACGTTGTCCAAGTTTCTTGAGCATTTCAGCTGGATTCTCAGCTTCTTCAGTGTCAGGTTTTACATTTGAAACGGGTAACGCATCTAATATAGTGTTGACATCCGTTTCAAAGCCCATGTCTATCATACGATCAGCCTAATGAGAATTTTAATAAATTTAATTTCTCGCTATTTATTGCGGAATATCATTGAATGCAAAAAAGCTAACTAAATCTTACTTCATCCATAACTACATATGTGCATTGATTGAGTACCAATATCCGACGATCGAGACAATCCTTTAAGCGACCAGGTGTGGCAATAATTATTTCAGCACCATTTCGTAAATTGAAAGCTTGCTCTTCTACAGCATGCTAAACAATAAAATTAATGAACATAAAAGTATATGCCACGATTTTTCTTGGAAATAAGCGAATTTTATTTACCCCTCCAACAATTGAAACACAATTGAATCCCATAGGTGCTGCAAATTTCAATGTTTCCTGTTCAATTTGCTGAGCCAATTCACGAGTTGGAGCCAATATTAATGCGTAAGGTCCATCCGACATGTTTTCCTCGCATAATCTCGGAAGATCAGAAATGTAAACTAACATAGGAATAACAAACGAGGCAGTTTTACCACTCCCTAAAATAATACAAAGAATTAATAGTTAATAAATAATAAATAATTTATTTATGTATACGAGCTAAAAGCAGACCTGTTTCTGCAATTCCAATAATGTCCCTATTTTGTAAACCAATAGGAATGGCCTGCCTTTGAATAGGTGTGGGCTCTTTATATCCGATACTGTCAATAAGATTGAGAATACGCTCAGATAAACCAGATTCTTTCCAAGAACGTATCGGATTTGGAATGCTACCACCTGATTTTAAAAAAAAGTTAACGAAATTAATCATAGTATAATTGATATTAATCCAAATAATGACAATAAGATTAACGGATACCTTTAGTTGTTATATTGAAATCTTCTTTGAAAATACGCCAATCTCTTTCTTTCATTTCGGTTAATGGTTTTTCTGACCAATGCCGGTCATCCCACATAGTTTTCATTTCCTTGCGTCTATCAATTTCCATTCTTTCTCTAAATATAATAAAATAATTGGATTTAGTCTATTAGAATAAATCACTAAATAAATTGCATATTAGAACTTACTCAGCACGATCTTTTTGATCAACAGTTCTTCGTTCCTCCAAAAGTTGATTATAAAATTGTGCACGATCACGTTTTTGTTCCTTAATATCGATTCCCGCAAAATGACCTCGTCCAAACATTTGTGCATTATGCCTGCTCGCATATAATGGATTAAAATCTTGTGAAGTGTCTTCACCAGCATCCCAATCGAATACAAATTTTTTTTCGTTCATCTTACGAATTTTACGCTTTTTACGTTCCCCACCCATATATCGTTCCTACGAAAATAAAAATAGCTATCGTCAAATAAATAAATAATAATAATGAAAAACTAAGTAAATTAAATAAAAACACACCCTTATCGCTTGTAATTCTTTTTCATCGAGTTTCTCTTCTGGAGGTTCACTAGACTCTGGTTTTTCAATAGGACGTTTTTCAGAAACATCACGATCCCTTCTTCCTCTTTCACGTTCATAACGCTCATGTCTTTCTCGTTCATATCTATCATAATGATCCCGTCTATCGCGTCCATTTCCCCTTCCCCTATCACGATCATAACGATCATAACGATCACGGTCATATCTGCTATCATGATGATCTCTTCTATCACGACTATATCCTAATAAAAAAAGCATTAATAAATTATGAGGATCTCCAGCCTGCTAAATGCTTTAACATACCTTGACGACTTTCGTCAATAGGACGTCTCTTATCCTCATCTGGTTTTATACGCCCGTCTCCTATCTCTTTTTGCTTTTTTTCTAATTCTTTTTTTTCTTGTTCTTCTTTATCTTTTCGAAGCTTTTCTCGTTCTTCTTTAGTTAAAAATTTTGGCTGAGGGAAGGAAAGACGAGCTTTAGTTTTCTAACTAGACTGTAAAATCATAAGTATGCAAATTACATACACGATCATTTTCTTGCTTTTCCGTTTGTCTTTTCAGTAGTAACTCTTCAAGCGAGATCGGAACTTTTCGGTTAGCAACACCGTTCATAGCTGATTTTGCTGTATTAAAATAGCAGTTCGAGTTCGTTACTAGGGAGCTCGAGGTCACATGGCGAT